ACAAACATCAAATGTAAGTTTCTGTTTCGATCCCGGCAAACCAGTCTGGTCTTGTATTGCACTCTTCAGAGAGGATACCTGAAATTACTGTCACAATTTAAACGCGTATCATTCAAAAGACTACAATAATACCAGTAATAACAATGATAAAAACAAACATTATACAAATATCACAAAAAGAAGAAAGATAACAAACCGGCGCAGCCACATCCAACGACACGCTCAAGTTCTTTCCATCGAGTTTCCAATCCGGATTCGATGAATTGGTCGGTGTTTGCACGTTGATCGTTATCGATCCAGACACCTGAACAATCCCACTCACTTTCCCGATCAATCATTCAATATCACAACCATCTTCGATTCATTTCATTCAAAGTCCATTTAAAAATCTCATAATCGATTAAAAAAACGGGCAGAATAAAAACACCAATCGTTTCAAATCAAAACATCCCTATCAAAATCCGATAGACACCCATATCAATATCATTTATTAATACTAACAACAACCACCACAAAGCTATAATCAACACAAACCTTCGCAAGCCAGTCCGCTTCACTCTCCAAATCATCCTCAGTTCTAGCTCTTTTGGCCGGTGGTGCACCATCAGACTGCTGCTGCGACGGTGCCCCTCCAGTCGGGAGTGGTGGGACGATATTGGCGTTCAGAGGTTGCGGTATGGTGGCTGGAGTGCTCGGCAAAGGCACATTCACTGGAACGGTGCTCATCGGTGGTTGTGGAATGACTGGGACTGGAATTATGGGCACGGCGACAGGCGGCTGAAATATCAATTCAATTCGTCACTTCGCTGTCAAAAATTTCCATCATCACTGCAACCGATCGACGTTTCTTGCAAACCGTTCCACATCAACCGTTCAGAGGGATTCTGTCAAAACTAAATTTCAGATGCAAAACGTCCACTTGCAGGAAGTTGGAGGCCAATCCAATCAAAAGTTAAACTCAAAATAACACAAAAAATCGCTCATAACATTCTGCTATTCCAATTGAATTGTGCCCAAATATAACCTAACCATATCCTCGTCGCAATAACCCAATGTTTTCGATACCATTTCAAGTATCCAGCACATCACTCTGACGTACTATCAAATCAATGCAAAACGAAACAAATGCATAAAATCAAATTCACAGTTCAATTTCAGATTGCAAAAATGAAGAGACGAAGCGACTAGAGAACAAACCCGAAGAGTTGGTAAGCCCATCGGACGTGGCATCGGTGGCATCGGCACTGCAGGTGCTCCAGTCGGAAACGGAATCGGTGGAAAGCTGAAAAGTTGCATAATTTTTTGTATAATGAGCGACACAAAAATATTAACAAGAACAATATCACACAAACTGCATTCACATATATATAAGTGACTGAAAACATTCGACACAAAAATTAATGAATGCAATTGCAATAACGCTGACACGCACAAAAACAATTCTCAAACTAGCAATATTAAATACACGACATCAATAATATCGAAAACCAACCCGGGTGGAAGTGCCGTTCTTAAGGATGCAATCGAAGGTACTTGCATAGGTGCTCCGGTAGCGGACTGCACTATGGTGGGGGCAGTGCTCTGCGGCGGACGTATCGGTGGGACGGTGATAGTGACGATCGTTGATTTTGGAGTGGGAGGAGCGGTCGAGGAGGGTGCATTCGAGGTTGAGGTCGGAGGTGCTGGTGCTGTGGAGGCGGTCGTGTTTGAGGTTGGAGGTGGGATGGTGGTGAGTGGGGCGGTGGAGG